GTCTTTTACCTTAAATAAGAAACTTTTTAAATACGTGTATTTATATACAGCAGTCTTATATGAAAATGAAAAATATTTCTAAATATTTCTAAATATTTCTAAATCATTTTCCAAATGATAAGGGTATTAATATAGAATAATTATGTACCTAAATCATGTCATTTGACAGCATGTAACACAACAGACCGTTACAAGAACCAGTGGTTTGGTGCCAAATGCCAGTACAAATGTCACTGTAAGAACAATGTAGCTTGTGATGTTACCAATGGTGACTGTCCTAACGGATGTGATATTGGATGGTTCGGTCCAGCATGTCAGTACGGTAGGTCACTAGACGTTATTTACATAGCCTTATTTATTTAAATCGTTTTATAAGCGTTGTATAAATGTGCCAAATGTTTTCAGGTACTTTTCAAATAGCTGCAGAACAATATCAGCTAAAATTTAAATAATAATAATAATAATAATAAAGTTTATTTGAAAAATACGCTTCATCCCCAAAAGTTCGAAGTGCGATATAAAGTCAACCACATTATAAAGAGAAATAAAAACAATCTGAATTTTACCACATTTAAAAAAAACAGACGCAACAATATAAAACTACATACGAGCATACCAAGTCAAAGTCTTTCATCCCGTTTCAACCATTAGCAACACAGGCCAATTTACATTAACTGAAAAAGATGGTATATAGCATCACCGCAGAAGGTGTTTACGAAATAGATGTGTTTTTAAATCGGTTTTAAAGGACTCCAGTATCTGTCTGTTTCTGAGAGCGACTGAAAGGGCGTTCCGAATTGTTGGGCCAGCAAATGCAAAAGTGAAAAAATAACTAAAATATAATGATTTACTATTGTTTTAAAACCTTGCTCCTTATACCTTAACAAAGAAAAAGTATTTTGCATTTGGACATGGAACAATTATAAGAAAATTACCAAACCCATTTAAATTATTTTTCCAGCTGATATCGCAAACAATGCATCACTAAATTTCGTTGGAGAAAGTGCACCAGATATCAAAGTGATTACAGATGGGGATGATACATCATGTGCAGCTCAAACAGGCTACAATTTATCACTGGATGTCACCTGGACATTTGACTTTTATTTCATATGGTTGAGGGCTGTTATCAAGAAGTCTGGTATTACAGAATTTCTTCGAAACTTTTAAAAATTACAAACATTATCTACTTGATTTATAAATAAAATTTCAAGATATTTGACAAGGAAATGGAGTTATGTGGAGGTTTAAGTAAAATTAAACGTGTATTTGTTACAATACTTTAGACATTTTAACATATATTCCAATGCCATAAGTCACATATAATGAATAATTCATTTTCACCTTTGTGTTTTTAGAAATTAAAAAAGAAGACATTTCAATAAAGTTTCCGGACTACCCAAAAACACAACCGCTGGAATGTTCAAATGTCTTTGTGGACAACACTACTATCGACATTTATTGTAACATGTCGAAACCTGTCCACGAAATAGTTCTGAATGGGTCGGCATTGGATACAATCTGTTCACTTTATATCAGCCAGGGTAAAAATGTCACGATAATTTATACTTTATAAATGAAATGTACTTCCTGATTAAATTCTTAGTTTGATATATTTTTAGATTATTTTTACTTTAACAAAATTATATTATTTTTGGAAGCAGTGAACAAGTTTGTTTGATTTATTTATTTACTAGCAAACTTTAAAAAAAGAATTTAGAAGTATTTATTTTAAAAAATTCATTGTTAAATGTTTATAATATGAGACTATAAGTTATTTGATTTTGATTTTTAAAGTAACTGTCTTTACATTGTTGTATTTTATTTTAACTTCGAGGCCCTATCATGGTCCATGTAAAGATCCAATTCAACATCATCGTATTCCAGGAATAAAACAAAGCATGGAGCTCACTGCTGTCAGGGCTCAAGCAATCCAACCCCTTATCCCTTAATTGCATAAAATAGTCTCAAATAGCCATTGCATTATATTAACGACGTCTTGCAAATAATACTTTTTTTTATGAAAGTATCAGGTCAATAAACACGTTACGCACCCTCTTAAAATCGCCAGGTCGAAATGTTGCGCTGAAGCAGAAAACTGATCAAACATCGACAAATAATATAACATTTACATCAAGTAACGCTGTTGATGGGTACACAAACTGGGACGACTACTCTTGTACACAAATAAATCGCAGCAATGAACTGGCTCGGACGTGGACTTTGCACCTTAAAATTCCAGTTACAGTGCAAACTTATAAAATCTACAACAAAAATGGAAGTTTGTAGATAATTGTTTTTAGATCATTTATATCATGTTATAAAAAACATTCTAATATTTAATTATTACCCCAGAATTAATATAATAACATTTAGAATTTTAACTTTTTTTTTTTTTGGTTGCTCCAAGTGAAATCAATGATATTACTTAAAGGGAGAAAGTTTGAACATTTCTTGTTATTTTGGTCGATTTCGGAAGATATTATATAAACTTAAAATGGATATGAAGGTGTTATAAAAGTAATTGGATTATAATCCTTTTAGAAAATGTTTAACATTTGATATAAGAACCTGCTTTTAGGAATATCATAATTATTTTGTAATACTGTTGTTTTCTTTATATCACCAGCTGAAGCTGATTGTTTTCTTAACACATTAAACTATTTTTTGCTTAGTACGTTCGATAAATCAAAAAAAAAGCTTCATGATTACAGAGACAAAAATGCAACACCACTTATTGTGTATCATGTTCTACCAACAAATATTTGGGCTCAAGTCTTTAAGGCTCAAATTATTGCAACTTGTCTTGATGCAGCTCCATGTAACAGGAAAGTCCTCACATTATGTGAAGTGGAGGTCTTTGGTGGTAAGATACATGATGTTAAGTTTTAAGAATTGAATTTTTAATAACCAAATACGAGTGAAAAAGCGGTTCAGCCAACGGTTACTTTAAATACGCTGCCTACCTTCATTTTAGCAAACTTCGTGCTCAACCGGTTGCTTGAACTCATATTTTTGTCTCTCTAAAAACAGCTAAGGTGCCCCTTCGATATTTTCTCATGAAATATATATATACATATATAGGAAATAAACTGAGTGCAGCTATGCAGCCGTTAAAAAATTGCTTCAAGGCTACCGTTTCGTCCCAGCTTTTCGTCCCGACCGAAACACTCCGTGTGCGGTGGGGGTGGTAACGCTACGCCATTTCCCCAGGAGTGAAAATACCAAAGTTGTTCTACTCTAATATGAGTTTTAGCAAAGGAAATAGTTGTCTTTCCATCCTTAGGTGCTACTGGCCATGAATGTATTGGGCCTGCCTCACCACTTCCTTCCACTCAGACCTTACTGGTACTTCACTGTCCATGCTTGGATTTCCAGCTGCGTAGATATTTTCCCACAGTATCCATTTATCTAATCCTGCTTCTGCTTTTCCGCCGTTTTCCTCTAAGATTGTAGTGGTTCGCCCTATTGACACCTCGGTAATTTGGCATGCTTTCTAAGTGTCCTGCCCAGCGGAGTTATAAGAAGCATATATTTTGACACCTGAGGAACATATTTTCTGAGGGAAACCCAAGACCCAGAACCAATGGGAACTCTCTACAATCAACCCCTTCAGCATCTTGGATATTCTGATAACATAACACTCTTATGGAAAAATAGTTAAGTCATACAAAGCCTGTTATTGAATTAGAAGACCCATCACTACAAGCTGGACTGGAAGTTAATAACACAAAAACAAAATTCTTGACAATGTTGAGACAAGAACAGACAGACGAAGCCACTAAATTAGAAACCACATTTGTAGATAAGTAAATCAATTTAAATGCATGTGAGCTTTATTAAATGAAAGAAATTAATTACTAACAGAAATAAAAGAATAACATACTAGACCGAAACAGGGTATACCCCAGTGGTCAGACTTTATTCAAAAGTAAAACTATTACACGAAAATAAAGAAAAATATGAATAAAACTGTTATTCAAAAGTTCTCTGTCTTTCATTATTTTCGCTGAAGAAGGCTTTTTGAAGAAACGTCCTCTTTCTGTTATTGCCTTTCTTCAAGTTTTCTTCGCCATTTGTATATTTCTCATTTATTCGACACGAACGCAGATGCGAGTATCTTTTCTTATTACTTACCTTATAAAATCTTTGTTAACATTTTAAATTCTGACAACGTTTTAATAATGTTTTATTTCATTTTTTATGGCTTGGTAAACTATATTGAACAAACCTTTCTAATATGGGTAAAATGTAAAACATAAATTAACAAACAATTATAATGTGCCCATATTTTTTCTCTCAGACTCATTTTGTGATCAAAATGAAGAAAGCAGTTTGACATACGGACGTGATTGTGAAAATACCTGTAACTGTGCTGTAGAAGGTGAAAAGTGTTTTGTTAGTACAGGAAACTGTCCATCTGGATGTAAGGCTGGATTTTATGGTCAAGGATGTAACAAAGGTATGTATACAGTGACGTGCCCACATTATGCTTGTGTCCATTACTTCTTGGACATTTTTGCCTTTATACTTCTTAAACACTTTTAGAAATCATACCCCTCAAAACCCTGTTAGGGGCTCCTCTAAGACATTTTCTTCTCTTTAAATTTAAAAATACAATGTATGTTCTTTATTCTAAACAGATACCCACTGATTTTTTTCCTACGTACTTTTAAAAAAATAATAAAATATATGTGCCATTAAGGTTTATGGGCTTCCATGGTAGCAAGTTTGTATTTTCTGGTATGGCTACCAATACCCGTATATTTCATCTCTCTTTTCAACGGAATAAATTTTACAAATTACCCTCGTCTTTAAGGAAATTTTTGAATTTTGGATTTTTAGAGATGGTGAAGTTATCTGTATCAATGGTGATTAATTAAAAACATCTTTGTTGACAGGAATAGTCCATTTCTTTGTTGTCTTTTTTGGTTTGTTAATAAAAAAGATATTATGCAACATGTAATATAAATAACATTGTCGATAATTTAATAAACTTTTGTTTAGCGTGTGATGCTGGTTACTTTGGAATCGACTGCAGAAATATGTGCAGTAATTGTTCAGGTCAATGTGAAGGCAAAGACGGCAAATGTACCAGTTGTGCAACTAAAGGAAAAAAACTTCCATATTGTACAGAAGGTATGCAAACTTATTTTGACAAATCTAGCCTCGACACACATTTTAAAAGACTCAAAGGTCACATAAAAAGTTAATGAATTTTTAAACATAAAACCATCCATAATTGATATGTAGAAACGACATTTACAACTGAATATATTGCGTTAAAGAAAGGTTATTATAGTTACTTAGAAGCATGAAACGGGTGAATCGAACTTTAAAAGTGAAGATTTTTTTTTTAAAGTGTTTATACTATAATGCTTAAATATTTAACAATACTATCTTAATTATACATATATTTTGCATGAATACACTTTTTACTGTAGTTTTTTGGATTATATAGTCCTATAAAACATAATTTATTCATTAACTAATATTTCCGGTAAAAAATAACTAACTTTCTAAGAAAAAAACACACTGCTTACTTAAAACGCTTTTAACTTTTTAAACTGAAAACAAAAAAAAATAGTTTCCTAAATCAAAAAGACATTATAAAATATTTTTTACATAAAAGGTTAGCTTTTTTTCTAGTTAATAAAATTGTGTACAGTTAAAACATTATTAGTATAAATCTAACCCCACAAAATGAAAGTATTATTTTTCGTATATTTTTATGTAAGAAGACAGTATTTATTTTTGAACGCATTTAGCAAAGTTTCTACTTCTTCAGGTTGTGATCCTGGTTTCTATGGGAGTGACTGCAAGTCAAACTGTTCAGAAAATTGTTCTCAAACTGGGTCTTATTGTGACGTCATAGAAGGGAAATGTTTCGAGTGTAAGCCTGGTTTCTACGAATCCTATTGTACAAAATCTTGTTCACCCAACTGTAAAGATTTATTTTGTAATATTACAAATGGTAAATGTTTTAGTTGTAAATCCGGATACTATGGAAACATATGTTCCAACGAATGTTCCAACAATTGTAAAGACTCTATTTGTGATATCAACTCTGGGAACTGTACCAACTGCAACCCTGGTTTCTATGGCGCTAAATGTACCACATCTTGTCCCACCAACTGTAATGATACAGTCTGTGATATCAACTATGGTATTTGCATTCGTTGTAAGGCTGGCTTCCAAGGTGATAAGTGTGATGAAGGTTAGTAAAAATATGAATAGAATAAATCTAAACAAATTGTATATAGTTAAAATAAAAAAGAAGAAAAAATGTTGAACATTTCGTTTACAATACAATACCATTTAATTGGGCTCATATATTATTTAATAACTTTCAATGTTTTATCTCTTTTTAAAATCTATTTAAAATCATGAATGAACAAGACTCTTTGTTTTAAATTTATTTATTTGAAGTGATAGTAAAATTTACTTTATCTTCACAGAATGCAGTTTCTCCACTTATGGTGAAAGTTGTAAAGCCAATTGTAGTTCAAACTGTAACACGAATTCAACAGGAGCTCGAATATGTGACAATGAAAATGGTCGATGTTTAAATGGATGTCGAAGTGGATTTGAGGGACTTGACTGCGCAAAATGTGAGTTGATTTGAGTTAGACTGGGTAATATAGTAATAAATAGTCATCATTATTTCTCGGCATTTCTCATGCCTTAGTCTAAAGTAATTAATAAGCTTGATTGAATTAATAAGTCATTACATGAAATGTCAGAGAATTTCAACCTATGCTGAAAATTCCATGCATAAATCGGATTAGCAAGCCACCTCCCCGTGACCCACTCCTCTAAACGGATGACAAGCAGGTCCTAGTAGGTGTTAACAGACGAACAATAAAAAGCTTTGTAAATTTGCATTAGAGAAAATAAACTACTTTCATTAGAAACCATATCTTAATATTATATGAAAAATGAAGTGTTTCTTTCATATATCCATCTTAATCTTTATCTTCAGCTTTAATTAAATTTTATTTCAAAAGTATGAATAAAAAGAAAACATTTGTAAAACCTTTATTACCGTTAGTATTTGTTAGTACTAATTGAAAAGCATTAAAATAGGAAAATGATTTAAAATTGTTATGAAATGTCTACAGAGGCGTAGTTGGGAGGGGGGAAGGGGGGACAGATGTCCCCGGGCGCCAGCTAGTTAGTGGCGCAAAAATGTGCTTTCATATTATTTTATTGATGAAAATAATGGGCTTGAGACTTGAAAAATGAAAAAGGGGCGCTTTAAAATGGATCTTGTCCCCGGGCGCGAATCCTGTCCCCGGGCGCCAAACACCCTCACTACGCCTCTGAATGTCTATCGAATAGGTTTACATGAACGATTCCCCTACAGTTGTTTTTATAACGAAAATTGTATGTAATATTTCATGTAATTTATCAAATTAGTTAAATCTTATGCTAGGATCAGTCGTACTTACGTACACAAAAGCACTTAAAAATAAATTTTCCTCAATCGATTTTCAAACAATTCCATTTTTTTGTGGGGGTTAAGTTTTAGAAAAAATCACATTTTTATGTGTGTCGATTTATGTAATCTCGGTGTTTATGGCATTGGGAGGGGGAGTGTCCAAGAAGTGCAAATTGTTTTAAAAAGACAAACGATCTTCATTGATTCGTATTTAATTTAATTGTACTTATACTTCCGGCGGGATAGTTTTTATTTGGTCTTGCCTTCTTATTCTTTTGAGATGAATCGGTTTCTGTTTTGGAGCATTCTCTTTCTTATTTAGACAAACTCTTTCTAGATGTCCTCTCTTGTGGCAAAAGCGGCAGATCACGTCTTTGTACCTGCAGACATTTTCTTTATGGCCTCTTACTCCACACCTGCCACAAGTTCAACTCGCAAAATCTATCCCGCCCATTATTCAAGAAATCATTCTAGAAGGAAAGAGGTTTGCATTTGAAATTGACACCGAAGCCGGAGAAAATTGTACGTCTGAATCTGTTTGGCGAAAGCTGGGACAACCCACATTGAGCCCAGTAGCTGTCAAGTACGAGTCAGCGTCTGGTGACCTATTTAATGTTTTGGGAAGTGAGCAGATAAATGCTGAAGCAGGGGAAATAAATACAAATTTGTCATTTGTAGTAGTGAAAAACCACAACTTAAATTTGTTGAGAAGAGCCGCAATAAAGAAGCTCACGATTTCAATAGACGCACTGTTTCAAACAAAGATAAATCACATTAGTAGTCAAAACTCATTGATTAAAGGTCGTGAGCAATTCCATAAGTCAACTGATCATTGCAATGCGGTGCGGATGCTCTTAGTCGTGTACCATCAGGGCTGTTGACATTTTTGATGTTGAAGAAATATGGATTCTGTATGTATGATCAAACAAATCAGTTTACAGATCAGACCAACAGACCCAGGAGTCCTTCCTAAAAATTTACTTCAAGATTATACTGTGTCTACAGTAATGAGATATTGTCAAGAGGGCTGCCCGCCCTCTACAAAGAAAGAACACAAGCTCAAGTTCTCCAAATCCTGCATACAGGACATTTTGGAATCGAGCGGATGAAACAGTTAGCAAGATCATCTGTATATTGACCCGGACTTGATACTAAAATCATGGAGATTGGTAAAAACAGCCAAGCATGTGCAGAACACGCCAGAGACCCAAACAAAGCAATTATCCACCCATGAATGTTGTCAGAAAAAACATGGAGTCGAGTGCATATTGATTATGCCATTAACTTTAAGAGATCACATTGACTGGTGGTGATAGATGCTTATTCAAAGTACCCGTGTATCCACAGGACAACATCTAGATCGACCAAAGCCAATATTGATCTTCTGGAGAAAGATTTTTCTCATTTCGGCTATCCACACACCATAGTGACAATGCTACTTGCTTAATCCCAGAAAATTTTCAGCATTGGTGTAAGGAAAGGGGTATTGTACATCTTGCAGGCACTCCTTACTATCCTGCTACGAATGGAGCTGCCGAACGACTGATTCAAAGTTTCAAGAGTTCTCTAAAGAAATCCTCATTACCTTTAAAGGAATCTCTACAAGACTTTCTGCGTCAGTATCGTAGGACACCATTGGCAAGTGGATTATCACCTAGCCGATTGCTGAACAATCGGCAAATAAGAACACTGATTGATACTCTAGTTCCCTCACCTTCTCATCGAGCACAGGGACAACATTTTAAAGAAATAGCCGTCCGCAATGGGACAAACAGAAATCCTAGTCAATCATTTAACCGGGGAGATCCATGTTAAGTCAGAGTATATGGAACAACAACAGACTCTAAACCACGATGGGCTCCCAGTGCAATCATCCAAGTTAGGGGTCCACGTCTTTTCAAGGTGAAGATTTATCCGAATGGTCCCACATGGAAGAGAAATTTAGACCAACTTTGCCAACAAGGTATGGAACAGAAGAAGATTCAGAGCCAGGTTTGGATATGATGACAGGAAGTCTTTATCCAACAGCTCAGGCAGCCCTGAGTCATCAACCGTCTACACATTCAGCAACCCCAAGTCCACCTAAGAAGAAGATTAACCCTCGACATCCAAGACCTTCAGACTAAGACATACCCAGAAGATCTCAAAGACAACGTCGAGCACCATTGTTACTGGACTTGTAATTGTTCCGGGAGGTGTTATGGTGGACTAGCGGACTGGCCCGTACCGATAGCCAGCGAAAGGAAACAGCACGCATGCGAAAAGAGAGACTGGAGAGAGTGTGTGTGTTTATGAACCGTGTTACGGACGCAAGCAGAAAGTCAACGCCCGATTGAGAACTTATATTTATGTATATATATGTTTATGTTACTTGTTTGAAATAAAAACATTGAAAACATAACATAATTTATTAATGAAGTAGTTTAAACCAGGGATTTGGAGCAGGTGTTTCTTTTTTTTGTGGGGGGGGATGGGGGTGGGGCGAGCTCCACTCCAGTTTTATTGCGGACAAACTTTGTCGGCTCCGACCTCCAGCAAAATTAAAATTATGTTGATGGGGGCTCTAAGAGTTTAAGGAAATATGTAGGCGCCAGTGATCTGGGTGAGGGTTTTTTTTTCTCATGACCTGCGATAGTTATTTATTTGGTTCGATTTTAGTTTTAATTAATTTGTTTAATACACTTTGCTTTGTTGTCCTTTTCATTTTGACCTCGTATTTTGACAAAGAAAAATAAATAGCGTTAATAAGTAAGTTTCTTTTTGGTTTCCACAATAGTAACATCAGCCTCAATCCGTTATGGTGATGGTAATGAAAAGACAATTATTGGAGCAGTGGTTGGATCAATCTGTGGACTGCTTGTTGTGTTTTTCATTGGTGGGGCCTTCTACTATTGGAGGTAGGAAAGTAGATTTTAAGATCTTACTCTGCTTAACACCCCAAATTGCTTCCTACTCCACATTCGTGGTAATACCCACTCCTGCTCACCACCCACTCCTGCTCACCACCCACTCATCCTCACTACCCACTCCAATTCATCACCCACTCCCAATTACCACCCACTCCCACTCAACACTTACTCCTGCTCACCACCCATTCCTCCTTACAACCCACTCCTGCTCAACATACATTACTGCTCACCACCCACTACTGCAAGCCAGCCATCCATGCTCTTGACCCATCCTTACTCACCACTCACCACCCATTCCTACTCAACACCCATTCTTACTCACCACCCACTCGTTCTCACTACCTACACCTGATCATCACCTACTCCTACTCACCACTCTTTCTACCTTAGAATTGCTTTAATTTATCACCACTAACTCAAAGTGTATACTTAATTAATGTATCATTAGCTAACCCTAACTGGCTTAAAATTACGGCAGTCATCCAATTGCTAACCACACTGATTAACCTTGCATGTTAGTGTTGGACATTTTAATTACTTCAAAAGATTCCCGCTTTCCAAACATCAAGCCATCCATCTCCACCATCCAATTATCCCAAACACCAAGTTTCTAATCCAACCAAACATTGCAATGTTATTTCCCTTGCATTCATGTTCTTTAATGGGGCTGATCTGACAGACGACATAAGAGGTCCGACAAAACACCAGGGAGATCAAAATCAAGTGTAGACAACCTAGTCATTGAAGCTGATTCCCCAGATCACGTGACTTCTGCTTCAAAACTAGAAAATAAAGAAGGAAGTAGAAAAGGTATTTAGAGAAATCAACCAGTTAAACGACCTTAATAAGACTTTAGATTAAAGTTATAATTAACATTTTTTGACGCATATGTCAGCTGGCTTTACCTCTCAAACTCATGGGTCGCAACTTTAAAGGGATATGGGAAGGTTTTTGTTTTTTCTTTGAGGTCAACTACTGATACATTTTCAATCTGTTTCTGGCTATAGTTTGAATAATTTCATTGAAACATCTACTTGTAAAATCTATTTTCGGTGTGTTTTTATGATATAAAAATTGCTACAATTTTATTTTATAAAGTAGCGTTCCAGAAGGCTTTTTTTTTATGAAATGGGGTCACACATTAAAAATGGTAGGAAATCTCCACTCTGCAGGTCTTTAGTTCTATAGTGACAGTAACTGGCCTGAAATATGTAGAATGTGTGGCTTCAAGATATACATTTCTAGAGTCGTAACACATTTGAAAATATATTTGTTAAACAGTATTCAAAATGAACTGAAAGAAGACAAACATTAAAAACAAAAATAATGACGTCATTCAGTCATTACACAAAGCCTTCTGGTTTTGGTTACATTTATTATTAATGCAATTATTATACTGTTAATCTCGGTTTGCTAAAAATCTTTTTATTTATTAAATTTTATTTTGACGTAAAACTATGTGAAACATTGCGACAATCACCATACTTTTCATCTAGAACCTTGGGAAACAAATTATGTCCCTACTAAACTTCAAAATATCAATATCTCATTTATATCATTCATTTTATCTCGAATTTTATTCTGGATAAGTTGATCAACTGCTGACCCTTGAAAAATGGTTGAATTGTGTGTTGAAATTTAATCCTATAGTGAAAGCTACAGGTCCTCATAAGCCAAAAGCCATGATTATTGGAGATGGAAAACCCTCAGCAGAAAAGGGAACTGGATATTATAACACAGTGACTCTACAGCCTGTAACGTCATCAACAGTTATCACGTTGTCTAATCTACAAAGTTACCTTCTCACTCATGGTAAAGAGTATCTTCATGAACAGTTTACCGTAAGTCAACAAAAAAACTATTATGATTAATTTGTATATCTGTAAAATCTTCTAGCAAGTATTGTCTTTTTATTACACTTGATATTGATGAGGAATTTTCTTTTTAATGGCTAAACATGCATTTAATGTAATGGAATTATTATACTATTTTATAGAAGAGTTTCATTAAAAAATTACGTAACTTAATTAAAAAAATCCCTAAAAACTAAGTTTTCGTATAAATCCTTTCTAAAATGTAGTATAGAGCAGTCAAATATAAATATTTAAAATGATGTCAATTTTAAAAAAGATTTCTTTAATTTCGCATTTTTTTGTTTACTAAAAAATTATAATGAATATGTTAAAAACCCAAGTTGGTCATGCCAGTAAATCCTTTTGACAATCGACATACTTTCCGCTATTCTTAGAAACTAACTGTATACTTAAAGTATCCCTTATAAAGGACTTTCTTGTTGTGAGTTTTTTTTTTAATGGTAATATAATTGCCACTTAAGGGTAAATATTCCTAGTAATCCACACACATTAAATAGTGACATGTTTCATGCAAGCTTATTTTTATCTGACTGTCACAGAATTTACCAGCCAACGCAGAAGCTACGATGCTGGTGGGTCTGAGTGCTGAAAATAAAAACAAGAATCGATACAAAAATATATGTGCATGTAAGCTGTAGTAATACTTTCGTGATTAAAATGCAGCAACACACATATTCGTACTAATGCATTGTTGATATGTTATATATGATCATGTTAAGAATACTTTCCCCGTCCAGTAAATATCACTTTATTTTCTTCCGATTTGCTTTAATCGAAGTCGCTCTGTTTAAGCTCAGCCTACGCCAGATTTCCAGTCAAATGTAGTCAATGAACTGTGTAATGTAGTCAGTGAACAGTCTAATGTAGTCAGTGAACAGTCTAATGTAGTCTGTGAACAGTCTAATGTAGTCAGTGAACTGTCTATCGTAGTCAGTGAACTGTCTATTGTAGTCAGTGAATAGTTTAATGTAGTCAGGGAACAGTCTAGTGTAGTCAGTTAACGGTCTAATGTAGTCAGTGAACAGTCTGATGTAGTCAGTAAACCATCAACAGTAGTTAGTGAACAGTCTAATGTAGTCAGTGAGTAGTTTATGTGGTATGTAAACAGTTTAATTTAATTAGTGAAGAGTCCAGCACCCAAATATTATGTATGATTTAGAAGTATGAAATAAATTCTTCTGAAACCTTCATAAATCGCAAAATCTGGCCTGCTTCAATCCCGGTGGGGACATTTTAATTGCTTTTGTGTCTAAGAAAATCGTTTTAAAGGATAGGTGCGATGCCCGAAACCTCTTTCAACATCTCAACTAAACATACGCGATTTTAATGATTCATATTCTGGTAGAAAAAACACGACAACCAACAGAAATGAATGGCACTCTTCATCAAAAAAAAAATAAAGCACAGTTTATCCACAATATAAATATGTGAAAATGGTATACGCTGTTGTTGGATATTTATAAATTGATGTAAAAAATATTGAAGAGACAGATGCATATTCCAACTGTTAACAAGCCAGGCCAGAAGATCTCAAAATAAATGATGCCAATCCTCGTAGATAGCAACTTCCATGTGAGATTTAAGAGCAGAACTAAAGAAGAGCAAATCTTATTTGAATAAGAATAGTTTAATCAACAACTGGAAATACAGATCAGACATAGTAAAGAAAATAACCTTTTTTGGAAGCAACTTAACTGGTGTACCTAAATTTTAATTCACAAGCTCAACTGAACATCATCAAGTGGAAGAACGCACGGCTAGATTTGAGACATCATCAGTAATAGAAAATTAAGGCACTCACTGTAGTTAGTCGGAGTGGTGCGTCACGCTTTCATGTAAGTAGTAGGATTCAAAACTTTTAAAACCGGAGCCAGAATAATCAATACGTTGCTCGTGAGTCTTTAATATATAGAAGAAGAAACTCAAATTCAAGAATGCAAAATTAGATAGTAGCAAGACAGGAGCTGCAATGACAAAACAGAAAGAGCATGCGTCTGCTAAAAGAAAGAAGAGACGTATCATCACTGAGGAGGTAGATCGGTTAAACGGGTACATGCAATAATTGAAAATATATTCAAACTGCCACAAACTCCAACACCGACAAACGTTCTTGGAACCAAAGAGGACTTAAGTATTAGTCCCGGTCATGAAATAACTGGAGCTTTACACAAAAATTAGGGCGTCACCATTAGATGAAAACAATTTCTTGGTGACCATACACCATGCAAAAGATATTAGTAAAATACAACTAAGCTAGATTTTTAGTTCAACAACAAAATTGATAGTCGAATCTGCAATCGAATATTCAAACGAATCTGCGAAAGATCAATGAGACTAGAGATGATTCTATGAAATGAAAAGCTGGGCCATAAAATATTTTTCACACCCGATGGAATATAAAGGGAAAAACCTTTTCCACCTCAACATCCTATAGCCAAAAGTTTAAGTACCAATCGGCATACGCAAATGAAATGAAGAATGATCATATGAGGAGGAATTTTCTTTACTTTCTAAGTAGACTACCAACACCTTTTAATGGCAATGATTGTAAGAAATAGCTATCTCAGGACTGTATAATATAGATTGTTTCTTTATTCCTTAACTGAACATTTAAAAAATACCTATAAACTAAGAGAACCCATTTAAATGAAACATATTGTTTTTGAATAGTTGAAGTAACGTGTATATATGATAAATTACTATTAATAAGCCTGCTATTATTTTATTGCATTTCATTTAACAACTTACAATGATATAAAAAACTATTCCTTTTATTTGTACACACAGACGATCACTCGAGGGTTCACTTGGAAGCTGACACAAAGAAAATGCACGGAGATTATATCAATGCTTCCTACTTACAAGTAAATAATATTAGTGCTGTGATAATATTTAATAATATGTAGTAAATCTAGTGATCTGTCACATTGATCGGTTAGTGAGAGATTTTAAAGTAATGCAATAAACCAATAGCGAGCAATACCAATGTTTGTGGAATTTTTTAAACGAAAAAAATACATACAATGTGTATACCCCTTAGTTATTAGTCAATGTACAACATGGGACTATAAGTTGAAAGCATTGTTCCGTTAGGAAACTTGCACATTGGTCTTAAAACTTAAAACTCAAAGCAAATATATAATAATAAAATATATAATAAATAACATTTTCATGTTTCTTTTTTGTAAATATTGTATTATAGTTTTGACCATCTTTAATCTCCACCACGTTACGATTATGTGTTATTGTGTATGCCTTTGTCTCTTGTCAAGGCGTAAGTTTATGTGGTATGAATAGTTTATTTTATTACTTTTTTCTTCTATTCTTGAAAGTTATATCCGATTTCATTCATTTCAAAAGTTCCGAGGGAAAAAAAATATTAATGTAAAGTTTATATTTTATACGTCTCTAAATGTTTAAGCTAATTCAGTGAAAAGCTTTAAATTTTAGTTAAATTAATCGTGTCAAAAAAATCATCTGCGTTTTATGAAAAACAGAAAATGTCATCTTCTTTTACAGGGATACAAGGGAGAGGAAAAGTTTATAGCATCTCAAGGTAGGGGGAATATTCATGACGTCAGTTTTGTTCATATTATTTATACAATATTACAGATATTTTAAGATGAAATCATGTATAACAAAATGCCAAATCATAGGGTTGTATATAGTGTATCTACTATAATTGCCTACTTAAACAACAAGCAATGTTCACATTAATGTTTATTTTAAAAGTAATGTTTGCTCTTATCTCATTAGGACCAACCAAGTATATATTAAATGACTTTATTAGAATGATTTGGGAACAAAAAGTTGAAAAAGTTGTCATGTTGACCAATCTTGTTGAAATGGGAAAAGTAAGTTTGTGTGTTGTTGTTGTTTTTTCATTTTGTTTGTTGTTTTTTTTTTTGTTTTTTTTTGCTATAGTATTTTTAATTAACAAATTTATTATTTAAATAACATGTCAGGAGAAGATTTTTTAACCTTATCTATTAAAGGAAACGTAAATGTAAAAGTAATTATTTTAATTATAGAGATAACTCAAATGAGAAATACACTCTATGAAAATTGAACGAAATTCCTATCTCTTATGTATTTATTGCATGTGGTGTGACTGCTTCCATTTCCGTATAGCGCGCAAAATATAATTCCCGATAACTACGGGTTATGTTTCTTTTTAAATTGAAATGCGTAATATTTTCTGTTCGGAAATGAAATCGTCTCAATTTAAATAGGGTGTAAATAATAATCGGTTTAAAAGTGGTTGAGACACCATAATATCAATATAGTTCATGGGTGTGACATAAAAAGAGTGGAGTTACGTATTATTGGAGAAGGGTGTAGCAAAAATTGGGATTCTTAAATGTGCGTGACTTGAGATATGTTTGCAAAGTAACTTTAGTAAATGGGAAGTTCCTGCATTGAGGTCGACAATGTTTTGCGAGCTATAACAAGTATTTAGTTTCAAATAATCAGAGTAGCATTTAATGATTGTGAACAAACAAACATTAACAGAGACAATATTTATGCAAGTATTGTTAAAGGTGCAATAATTATGGGCATTATTTTTGGTTGGGTTTGTCTACAACAGAACATTACATCCAAGACAAATTACATCGAAGTCAGACTCGCCTTTGCATCGAACACAGAAGATGCTCTGCAGCGGTTAATTATTCATCTTTAACACGCATGTAAAGAGTTTGGACTGTCAAATAGTCTAAAGTAAACAAATGTTATGATGAAATAAGTCCCCTCTCAGCATAAGTATTGAGGAAAATAATCTGTAATTGAAAATTTCAAATATCTTGGATCCTATATCTCTAGTTTACTCTCCATTGACGAAAAGGGGAATATCAGTATCTCAAAAGCAGCAGGAGCTATTTCTAAATTGAATAAGCGGGTGTTGAATAATATATCTGGAATTTAAAAATTAAGCGTCTATCAGGCAAGCGGTTATAGTACGCAGCTATATGGCAGTAGATTTTAGACCACATCAACCAGTCATGAGAGAAAGCTGAACAACTTCCACAAAAGATTTCTAGTTTTCATTTTGCGCATTCGATGACAGGAGTATATGCCCAACACAGGTTTTGAAACGTGCTAAAATGTTCAGCATTTCTGCGTAAGAGACGCCTTTGCCTGTCAGGCCTTTTAAATAAAATGGAGGAAAGGTTTGCTGTATGGAGTGTTGGCAGAGGGGGAAAGACCTTCTGGATCACCGGGCTGCGATTTCATTACGTTCGTGTGACAAACATGAGAGACGACAACATAGGAATAAAGGAGTAGGAAGTCATTGCTGAACACCATTACATCTGACGAAAAGCAGTGTATGAAGGAGTTAGACAGGCAGCAGATTAGTGAAACGAAACAATTGCAACATAAAGAACATTACGAAAGGCCACATATACCCAGGATCAAAATTTGTCGTGCGACAGTGCGGCCAAAAATGTAATTCCAAGATCGGCCTCGTAAGCCATTTGATTAAATGTCAATAGTGCTCCAATTTTTGCGAAGACTTTAGGAGGTCATATAGGTATATCTTATATAACCAAGACTATTGTATGAAGATTATGAACGCATTATATTTCAAGAATCCAAATGATTATACCCCCGCCCCCAATTTAATTTAACCAGTCCAAGTGTGATCCATACTGGCCAGATGAAGATGAGTCGACATTTGGAGAAATACGTGTCAGGCTGGCTGCTACACAAGTTTTTGCTGATTATATTATACGGCGTCTTCAATTTTACCTGGTATGTTAGTTTGATACACTTAAGTTTTTTTTTAATTATGAGAAATACGTTTTACTTTGTCAATGTTCTAGTTTTAATACATATTCAGTTAACAAAATATATTTCAAAGGTAAAAAATATTAATAATTCAAACTCATAAGTTTTAAACAAGGAAAATAAATAATATGAAAAATGCAAGTGAAATGTGTATGTCTTTGTGTACATATTTTGTTTAAATTCTATTATCAGATTTAACAAATATTTGATCCTATTGAAAAAATAATCCATGATTCGAAAATTTATTAAACTTGTTAACTATTCTATCCACCGATCCAGGACTCACATCCAATGCATCCAGTGACACAGTTTCACTTCACATCCTGGCCAGACAAGGGTGTACCAGAAAACCCCTGGGCTCTAGTTGACTTTGAACAAAGAGTGGCGGCTACTGCAACCAACAGGCCCATAGTGGTTCACTGCAGGTTGGAAAATATAACTATTACTTAATTTCAGATAACCTTATGACATATCTTTAATGAATCTTGAATTCGGCTGTAATATTGAGAGACATTAAATATTTTATTTTAGGAGGGAAGAAAATGTTTACTTGTAACAAAAATAAAACATACTAAAAATGTAACAATATGTATTTCGTTTTAAATGTGACAAAATTAAAAATGTTATTGTAATGATCTCTTTCAAAAGAGGGTTAAAAATATAAATTTAGATTTTTCAGACCATCATTTTAAATTTATGTAAAAATAGTATTTTATCCCAATTTTTGTTCTTTGTCCAGACATTTTTACTTTAATTTTTTTTAAAAAGAATATTGCATGCGATATAAATTTAACTTTATCTTTTCTTTTCGTCAGTGCTGGTGTGGGCCGTACAGGAACATTCATAGCTCTACGTAACGTAATGAGAGAAGCTGATGATACACAACAGATGGATTTTTTCAATACAGTGGCCAAAATCAGGCAGGACAGGACGATGATGATACAGACAGCCGTGAGATTTTTTAGCATCACTTTTTATTAGCCTTATGCGCTTATTCACTCTATGCGTTGCTAAAGTTTCCGAATTCGTTTAGAATGATTAATGATGCGAAGCATATTATGAACTGAATATAATATTTGATTCCATAAATTCATAAAAGGGCAGTAAACAAGTGAAATGAAAAATAATCTATACCGATACAATGATATTCAAAGATAATGAAGAGGATTATTTCTTAAGTTTATAAATAAAACTTAAGTCAAAGAATTACACCATTCTTTAATACTCAATCTAATTTATATCTAGCTAAACCGTGTTCTGCCAATCTTATAAACTGTGAATGTCTATCAAACAGAAACTTCATATTTGACGAATTTAATTTGAAATTGAATTGTTGCAAGATGTTGGCCTTTAACTTAATCTAAGTAGGGCTCTTAGCCAAAACTAACTTCTTTTATTGTCCTGTCATCCTATCTCAAGCTCCCGAATACTTTGTTGTACTATTTCCTTCACACAGCTTGAACGCAGTTCTTCATGTATTATCTTGCACTTAAGTGAATTAATTATCTTGCAGCAAATATAAAAGCCTGAATATTTAGTTTTAATGATACTAATACTATTTCAGGAACAATATGTCTTCTTGCATGAGGCTGCCAAGGTTGCCATAACCTGTATCAATACAACTATAACATCCAATAATATTGCAACCAGTATTCACCAATTGGAGAAAAAGTCAATCTCTGGTAAAACGAAAATGGAAATAGAGTTTGAAGTAAGTTTTATTACATCAAGTCACGTACCATGAAGGTTTTTGGTGAAACATTATACTTTATCTTAATTGTGTCAACTTTGGCATTTGAGATATAAACTTATAAGTTTTGACTTTAATACGTCAGTTCATTTTAGAGGTTAACGTTTTAAAGATTCTTTAATATGATATGCAGTTGTTTTTTTTTTCTTAAAATCAATATCTAAAATTTTGAATTTGTTTACAATTTAAGGTGATTATTTGAAATTTAAACATGCTTCAGTCAATATATCATAGTTGCCATCTTTGCGTTATATATAGTCAGTGTGCAGTGTGTGTATGGAGGAAAGTCAGTTTACAGATGAAGAAGGTTCAGCTGGAGTCATGTACCAAAACAGTCGAACTGTCTCCAATAAACTCAAAAACAGATTTGGAAACATCTTGCCAAGTTAGTTTGTAAATTTATTCTTTAAATTTAACAATACAAAAAAAAAAATCTTAAAGCCCCCATTTCTTTCATACTTTAGAGCATTTCATGTTTAACTTATATAAAATAGGGATAATGGTGTATGTTAGTTGTGCATAATGGTTTATAGTAATTTACTTTCTTTCGCAAATTTTATCAAAAAGGAGATTATGCTGATTACATTTATTTAATTGTCCATTAGAGGAAAATTACAGACCTGTACTCATGTGTGAATCCAGTGACATGGGAGATTACGTCAATGCTGTTTTACTACCGGTAATAAACGATAGATGTATTTCAAAATTATAGACCTACTCCTCAATCTCTCAGACACAATTGCTAAACTGTATAGAAACATAAAGCAAAATTCTAATAATTGTCCTGTTTTAGTCTTTCACTATACATTTTTACTGCTCAAGTATAAATTGTTAATTATATTTTATTCCTGCAATTTCTAAGAGTTTCAGAAAAAGGAATCAAGATATCATCACACAACTTCCACTCCCAACAACAGTGGTGGACTTCTGGCGTCTCATTACTCAAATGAAAGTTTCTTTGGTTGTTGCATTTGAGGAGCATTTACAAGCCACGGATTCAGTAATTATAATCACAATTTTTAAATTATTTTACATCCATTAATCTGTATATATATTTATATTATTAGCTTTGTGTTATTCATTAAATTTACTTTTAAAAATTAAATTAAATCTTCATGCTCTCTTCGACAAACTAACGTCATAGAAAGGATTTTTGAAGAAGGTTTAGGTCCCAATGGTAGTCAAGATCATACTAGTTACCTAATAATACAAGTACTCCCATCATTGGCACAAAAAAAAATGTAAATTGTAACAACAACTTTATATATAAAAATATTTTTAAAATTTTTGTTTACATTCATTTTTATAACAAACAAATTTCCTTCTGTTTTCTCTCTCTCTCTCTCTCTCTCACACACACACACACACGCACACACACACACACACACACATACATACACACACACACACACACCCTAGTGATTTTTTATTTGCTGTTCTTTCAACCTTATTTTTATCACCCAAATGCAAACTCTAGCTATGTGTTTCTCTATCCACCTATACCTGTCTCTTTTTTCCAAGGCAAACTCAAGCTATGTGTCTCTCTATAAGACTGCACATGTGACTTGTCTCCAAATAGAGTCACAATTGACATGAAATGCAATTGTTTACAACTCTCTGTATCTCGAAAACCATATCATTTGCTCGCCTTGTAGAGATTCTTCAAGACTTCTATCATATGCTCATCAAACTACTAACATATTCAAAACTAGATCAAACTGCTAGCATGTTCAAAACTATTTCAGGCTAATAACATATTCAAAACTAGAGCAAACTGTTAGCATGTTCAAAACTATTTCAGGCTAATAACATATTCAAAACTAGAGTAAACTACTAAGGTATTCAACACTAAATCGTTAAACCTAATCTACTGTTGTTCTTTTTCTCTACGCGGCTTTTAGAGACTATGCTCTATGTTCTAGATGTTTAAAGTAGAATCTAATTGATCCACCAAAACTTTTATCTTTCTTATTTGATCTTCTGTATAACAAAAAATATATGAAAGTTTATTTAAATTTTGTATTCTTATTATTCTAAAGACAATAGGCGAGTATCTGCCAAACAGTGAAAAAGAAAAAGCCAGCTTCCCTCCATTTCAAGTTAGTGTGGGAACATTGCACCAAGGATCTGATTGGGAAGAGAGAAAGCTGATTATAAATGGATCAAAGGTAGATAATAACATTTAAAAGATAATTTAATAGTTTCTGCTGACATAATTAAACTAGTATAAATAAGTAAGATATGAGACGTACAAGCTATATATTACAAATATATACACGGTTAAAATGTCTCTTTTCAAAATTGTGACCAAAAAAAAAGGCGACCCACCAAAAAACAACCAAATTTATTTTTAAAAAACATTTTACTGTCCGTTTAAAAAAAAAGATTTTGGGCGTCTTTCGTTTTTATTTCCTCTTTGTGCACGCCCCTGGTTATAAATTGGATTCCTTTTTCATGTACTACTGTTCTCAACCATAATCTTAATCAATATAGAGACGGGACATCTTATGTAACAAATCATTCTTTAAATTTATTGCCTTCATCATCAAATGTATTCTTCTGTCAGTTTTTTTTTTAAATTACAACTTTTATAAAGGAAGAAGAAGAGCACAGCCTGATTCATCTCAGATATACACAAAATGCAACAGATCCACATAAAATTTTGTCATTTCTCAAGCATGCAAGGACGTATAACCCTGAACAGGAGGCCAGAATTGTGTACATGTGCAGGTGGGTGTTGTTTTAAGTTTAGATTTTGAAACAAAACATGCAGAGAATAAATCTGTTTTTAAAAGTATTGATACAGCTTCATTTATTAAAATTAATGAAAATATTATTATAATAATATTAGAAATAACCTTCGCTATTTTCTTTCCAATAATAATGATATCTTTATAAAACATAGATTTGTATTTTACAGAAACGGTGCAACATACAGTGGTCTGGCCTGTGTCTTGACTCTCCTACTGGACAGAATGGACAATGACCAGCGCCTGACTGTTCCTCTTGTCGTTGGTGCCATCAAGACTATCCGTCCTCAAGTTATCCCAACAGTGGTAATCTTAAATTTTAAACAACGATCTTAACATAACAAATGATTATAAATAAGACTGTTTAGTTATATGAAGGTACGAAATAGTCAACGGTTAATATATAAAGTATGAAATTTAATCATAATTTCACATCAAATGCTGATTAATGGGCTTATTAAAAATAAACGTTTAATAGCGCAAGACTTCTCTAAGCCAATTTGATTAGATCAATTAGTTTTATTAGTTTTTTTATCATAAGTTCATAAGTAAGTTCAAAATTTTATTTTTAACCTTAATGATTTGCTCGACGGCTTAACACTGATCACACATTAAAGGAAATTGCTTTTGTCTGTTTTAAAGAAATGAATTTTATCATTTAAATCTTTCATTTACATCAAAAAATGGAACGGGTCCATACTTGAAATTAAATTGAAACATTTCGTTTTAGAGCAATGCCATACGTCAAATAAAAGTATTTATTCTAAGAAAGGCATTTTATTACTTTTTAACATGATTAATAATTTTATAATTCAAATATTTAAAAATTTTATAAAATTTAAATATACCGCTTTTCTAAAGAAATATCTCCCATTTTAGATTTTAACCAATTAAAGTATTTTTGAGTCTTGTGCGTTATTTAAATATCAATGTGTCATAAATTGTATTGTCTTTAAGTATATAACTTAGATTAATCAAAATTTTTGAATGTTTAAGATGATCCTTTGAAGTTTCTAAAAATTTCTAGATGGTCGTATAAGTTTATTGAAGCGTATGCATGAGTCCACATAGCTATGTAAATGTTTTCGACTTTAAGGAAATATCTAGGCATCAAGTGAGAAACGTTAAGATCATTTGTTTAAATTTCCGTGAACTTTTGGTATGATTTGATAAGTTTTTATGAGATGAGAGCAAATTACCTACAGACTAATGTGTGTATATATATCTGGAATTTTCTTGAATGTAGTTAAGAGACGATGCATAAACTCATCTTTTTTTTAATTTAAAGTTCGACATGATTTCATGAAAAACAATAAATTAATGGAAATTTTCATATTTAAAAAAAAAATTATTTAAACTTTCTGATACTTGTTCGATTCCAAAGTATTCAGATCTATGAAATGCTTGAATTTTCTAGTTATAGACACCAGTTTTATAACTTTATATGGCGCTCACAATAATGATATAGACTTATTAAGATAATCGTAGTATTTTCTCATGGACATTTAATATGGTTTTGTGAGCCCAAAAAAATTTTTTTTTAAGAGCAAGATTGTGTGATACAGAATAATTGTACCTCTTTTTTTTTTTTTTGACTAAATTTTCTAATGTTTCGTATTAGAAGATTTGTTTTAAAGACTTAGTTTCTCTATTTTTAAAAAAATATACATTAAATTGTAATAACATACTTTAAAATTAATTACAAATAGATGAAGTGGATAGTCGAACTTACTGGGTTTTTTTTTTCTTTATATATATATATATATATATTTTCACTACTAGCCAAAATGTCGAAACTTTTCATTACATCACAATAATTTTAATGATCTGTGCAATTTCAGGAGCAATACAAAGTTCTTTATCAGGTTCTCCAAAGATATAACGAGACAAACAGCGTTTACTCCAACTTCAATGATCCCAAGTTCTCAGTCCCTTCAAATGATGACGACAAAGACGATTTAGGAAATGTTGGGAATGAAGGCGCAGAGTACGCCAATGCAAGTCTTTAAGTGCTAAACACTACGAAAATACTTCATTTTTTTTAACAATCATATTTCATAATTACTATATACCTTAACACCACAGAGGACAAACATTTCTTTTGTGTTTTATTTCCAAAAACAATTATTTTCTTTAATTTGCAAGGACTGTGTAAATAATAATTTTTTTTAACTATATGAAATATCAGCTCTAATCTTATTTTTTTTAAAAATTATATGCTTGACAACTTTTTCTAGGTTTACATTACACAGCTACACTTGATCCCACACTTGGTTACAACAGCACCGCTCAATAAAAGTAATTATGACAGTTCTTTATTGTCAAGATCCTTTCACAGCAATTACCTGTCCACAAAATGTTCTCCATAAAACCATCACCACACTGACATTTGGTTTTACCAAAGGGGACTCTTGTCTCACTGACTAACGTGGAATTGCACGTTTTCAAACAGCAACAATGCATCCCATACTAGCCATCAATGATAACTTCGCAAACTAACCTGCCATAAGGTGACCATTCGCAATTCGCTCTCATAAAAGATTTCACCAACTCATGATCAACAAATTTTGTACACAAGCAATCACGATCAGAAATCCAGTTCATAAAATTGTTTTAGACTCTAATTTGTTTGAGATGAAGACGTTTTTCTTTTACCTTCTAGTAGGAATTCATTTAAATAATATGGTCAACCCAAAGCACATCACTGCAGAGCATAGATTTTTAAAGAAGCAAATATCTTTATGGAAATCTGTTGGCCCTTTTTCAAAATTTAATTTGGTGATACAAGTATATCATTTAACATATAACAGAAGAACGCGTCTTATATACTGCATTTTACTATGTTGAATAATTCAACATTTGTTATCTCTCTTTCAATTCCATTACAATACATATTGCTACTGTAAAATAGCATTAATGACACATTTAATCAACATTTATTGCTGTGAAACATTCTAAATATTTTGTAGCATTTTTTAAATTGTAAGTTTTAAAGTTAACTTTGCATAATATGCACTCTTTTGTTAAGACTTTCTTTACTATATTTGAGAGTTAACAATAAGTTTAAACTTCAAAATGTTGTCTGAAAGTGTTCGTTATCTGGCATAAACATCTTTGGGATAAGTTAAATTATAAAAGTGTAAATTATGTATTTCCTCCTTACTTAAATATGCATTTAAAAATATCACAATTTAAAACATGTTTTTTTTTTCGTAGTTACTGTCTGAGTGATTATAGAAATGTCAAGGAAGAACTTGTGTGATAGCAACTGGAAAAATAATAAACTTTTTTGAGAATAATAAAATCTTTCTATAAGCTATAAAAATGCAATCACGCTTCACAAAACAACAAAAAAAAATGCTTCTTAACTATGGCTTATTTGTATTTTAAATTTTTATTATTTTTTTTTTTGTAAGCTTAAATAACTATGCAAAGCAAACGTGTATTCAATAAAGAGAAAAGTTGCACTGTAGAATTTTGTTTTTATTCATGTTTCTTTTCACTTTTTGAAAAAAAATTATTTGATGTAATCAGAATACTATATCAAACTATATTTAAAAGTGAGGTTTATATATTCGATTGTTTTTTTTTTTTTTTTAATTCTTTAAAAAATATTAAACAACGACAGAATTTTTTTTTTATTTTTAATTTTCATCTTTCAATTCATAATGCTCACTAAACATCTGATCGAAGCTTTACTCCTCATTACAATTTTTATATTCGATTGTTTTTTTTTTTTTTTTAATTCTTTAAAAAATATTAAACAACGACAGAATTTTTTTTTTATTTTTAATTTTCATCTTTCAATTCATAATGCTCACTAATCATCTGATCGAAGCGTTACTCCTCAGTACAATTAGCGAATAACGATTAATGCATTATATAACTCATTTATTAATAACGCACGATTTTTCAAATGACCTCACACTACTGCAGTTTCTGTTTTTATTAAGTTGAGTCGTGTCACCAACCTGCCTTGGTCAAAACTTCTTGTACGAAAGAGTTTATGCCATGGCTCGTCTCCCCTGAATACTCGCTGTTGTCAATATCTCTTAAAGAAAGCTACAGATAAGGCAGACATTGCGGTGTTTGTAGTTATCTCCTGAACCCGGGGTACAACTACAGGGCGCGTCCTACGTGGGCAGACAAAGGATGTGCTCGGTACCTGCCGTGCATGAAACAACTGCTGCAGGGCTGCAAGTTGTGATACTTCCCATTTGGAAAAATAGGCAGAGATCGGGTAGGGATCATGATTACAAGTTGCCGTTAATGGATATGATGTGAGAGGCGAAGGTGGTAACCTCTGGCCGATGATTCTTACTACGCAGCCCTGAGAAGCTGCTCCAAGGCAACCGTTTCGTCACAACTACATCGCGAATTAGTTGCGTCGTGGAAACCCACTGTGGAATCACTCTTATAGAGCGTCAACGCTTCCCCGGGATGGGTGGGGGAAGATATTAGGACGTAAATTTTTCCATCCCGACTCCTGAGAAAGTCGATCGTGTGCACTGTTTGCAAACACAGTGTCGGACCGACCGGGTGTATTTGGATTAGGACGGCTCCCGGCGGCGGAGACCCATGTCGAGCAGACTCGGGTGGGGGCTGTCCTGACAAAGGGACATCCCCGACGTGCCGCTCCTCTGCCCAATACCAGTTTGGGGAGGGGTGTTTTGTGGAGGGCATAAAGAGCGCAAGCTCGACGGCCCACTGACGCCATTTCTTAATGTAACATTTCAGTTAACTCCTGATACAGATGCGTTTTTCATACGTGGCATAATGTGGTGTACGCTTTCTAAATGTCCACGACTTTGCGATGATCTTTACGGTACTCTAATGATAGTTTCTTATTAAGTTCAATAATTTCATTTATATAATTTCATAAATCTAGCCAGGAAAAAGGGCTTTTCTCCTATCATTTCAAAATGATTTTAATGCAAACATTGCATCTGTTAAACTACAACTGAAAAGAACATTAGACATCCAAAACAAATTTCCTCATATTGCAGAACCCATTATATTCTTAAAATGTACCCTCAATACATATTTGGATATTGATCAGCAGGCTTTAATTTTTTGCTTATCAACTAAGAACCAATTTCAACAGAAATGTTACGGTCCTTAATAGGTTAAAGAAATTTAATTCGTAGTATTTTTTTTTAACATTTGGCTCGTTAGATGAATATCTGAACAAAGGACTGAAAACCAGTGTAAAAAGAAACACGATACCAAAGCTAGTGATACCAACAATATTCAATTTAATTATGATAATACGTTTACGTAAATAAAAACGACTCAAATATACAGATATAAAAACTATAAAACATTTCAGAAAAGCAAGAAAAAGTACAATACTATATTTATATGCTAACATACCGCTTACTTAAAAGGTACACATTTTAATCCACAGATAGGCAAAGAGAATGATGTAATGGGTCTTGTAGAACTCCTGCACGACTTGAAGATAAGTCTGCCGGTCAAATTCGACCATCGTATTTATATAAGAAGTCTGAAGCCTCGAAAGCAGTAATTTTCAGATCTATTCAGCACCGAAAGACGTCATTTTAAACCAAGCATTTTACCTGCGTGTGATCTTCCAACTCTCAGCAATCATTCCAAATGTGTTGACTAAGAGACACATGCACTCACTTAATTGTGACATATATATTATTGTTCGTCCGTCGATGATTGACGGGGACCATCGAGTCGTGTGGTGAGTGATGACTTGCGCTGGTGACTTTGTTTAGAGGGAAGAAGAGTTGCGTGGCGTCTACCTCACTCTCTCGTCCACATTATCCAGTGGCAAGACTCTACGCCAAGACGACCAGGGATGGGTACGGTTGTAGGAATTGTCATTGTATGCGCCTTACGGGACTCCCGCTCAGGGTTTGAATTCAGAGTTTCCTTCTCTTAGATGAGTTGCCGACCAAGGTTAACGAGTCTCATCCACCCGGGAATACATTTATATATATATATATATATATATATATATATATATATATATATATATATATATATATATATATATATAAATATATATATATATATATATATATATATGTGTGTGTGT